CTGCTGGGTATTAAACTCCTGGTTACCCCGAGAGCCCGAGTTCAGAGCTCGTCACTCCCAAGTAACTAAATGCCAACATTCTTTGGAAAATTTCCTCTGAAAAGCAAGATGGGAAACTAAACTGCCATGGATTCAGGCCCAGGACCTTCTCAAACTTGCTGAAGGTGTCTGCACCCAGTGCCGCTGGAGGAGCCCAGAGGGTCACACGCAGGCCGGTGGGTGCCTGCCTGGCACCCCCACCCACCCAAACTCTGCCTTCCTTCGGAGATGCCGCCTTCACCTGAGTCAGCAGCTTATTGCTGTCATATGCCGACAGCTTCCACACCTGCCTCGACAGAGTCCACGCTGGCCAGCTCTTATTTGTATCGTACAAATTCAAGTTTTAGACTTAAAAGAAGTGTGGATACCTTTTACATCCACACACCCTAAAAAAAAAAAAAATAACCAGAAAAAAAATTTCCAAGCCAGGCCTCTACCTTACCTCTGAAATTCCACACCGAAATAAAGCTTTCAACCCTGAAAAGGTGCAGAGAATATAAAAACCAAACTGAGCTTTCACCTCTCGAGCTGAGATGTGCAGTAAATTTAAGGTACATTTGGGGGCTGGATCATGTGAAGTTGTTTTTCATCTCTGCACTTCCTGGTTGAAGTAGCAAAAGTCACAGGTATCAAAGCCTCATCTGTGCAGATTCAAGAGCGTTTACTTCAAATTGCTGGAGAAGGGAGGCAAAGACACCAGGGTACCTTCAGCACCAACCCAGCATCCTGCTTGGAGGTTTCAGGCAGTAATTTCCCTTGTCTATCGGTAAAGGGAAAGGTAAAACCTACATATATACTGTGAATCCTCGGAGGAAAGGCACCGTGGAAGCCCAGTGTGCTGCTTTAAGCTTCCAAAGCATCTGAGTATGACCACAGCCAGCATTTCTCAGAGCCATCCAGCTGAACAGCAAAGCACAAGCAGCCGGTTTTGGGGACCCAGGGATGCAGAAGACAACCCAGGGCACCAAGTCCACTCCTCTGCTGCTGCTGAAATAAACTCCCTTCATAATTTTTCTTAATGCCCTTCGGCCTTCTAGAGTTATTTCACAACCTTTGGCTTCAACTTAGCTTATTTATGACCACCCGTTGCACGTTTCTTCTTGTGACTGCACTTATATTCTAAGAAGCTCCTTCCTTCCCCTGGTGTTTACAGCCAGCCCCATTCTCTCCCTGACTTCATCTTGTTAGGGACTTATCTAAGCTTTCAGTCTCTGCTCAGAAAACAGCCTGTTCTCTAATCATCCCTGGCCCTGCTCCAGTTCAAATTTATCTTTCTCAAATGTGGGTGACTGGCTCTGCATAAACTATTACAGACAAGATGGCAGGAAGGCCTTGTAAACAGCATTAATACTGCTTTCATTCTTACGGGAAGAAACTCCCCTGATTCATCCTGGGATAGTGACTCTTGTCATTTCCAACTTGCAGCAGAAATTCACAGGTCTAATTCCCCAAGAGCAGAAAACGAAGTACCACACTCAGCACCACTTCTGTTTCCCCACCGCTCAAGGGTAAGCCCACTTCTCCCGTGCAGTGGTCTAACCCTCTTCGTCACAACCATCCCTGCCGACCGCGTTTTACCAGCAAGTGTTCCCAACGTATCCCCGTGCTTTGCAGCAGGCTCACCAAATGGTCATTGCTGGTCCTCCATCTCTCTCCCTGCTGAAGAACTTCACTAGCAACCTCTCCTCATCCCAAATGATGTTGAAAGGGAAGCACGACCACCTTCTCATTAGGGCACTCCGTTTGATACCAACTCCTTTCCCCAGTCGGATAGGAGCCTTCAAACCCTGCCTGGGTGCTGCATTTGCCCCTTCGTGCTCTTCCCAGCCTTCTACCGGCAGCTGTTGTCAGACACTATCAAGCTACTTGGATTTTCACTTTTATCTAACACGGCTGTTCTCAGCCCCACATCATCATCCATTCAGAAACAAAGGCATTTCTTTAAAACTCTGAATTGCAAACAGCCTGCAGATCTGCACTCCTGCTCACCACCAGTCAGCCATCCTTTCAGTGCTATTGCCAAAAACCTTCCCGTAAGTTAAAAGCACAGCTTTGTCACATTGAACACCTTGGCCTTTCCCATCCAGCTAAGCCGATTCTGCTCTTGCATACTCGACCAAGGTGACCGACACCACTTACAGCATGGTGAATGCTGATTCCTGTTCACAGCCTGCTTGCTAGCAAATAAGACACCCAGCTGAGCTTGCCATAACATTAACGCATAGCCTACAGAGCCTGCGTAGACATTTTTAGCCATTTCACAATTATATATTAATTAAAATGTTTTTAAAACTACAGATTGTCACAAGTCTGTGTATTTAAAACAGCTTCTCCTTTTCCCCCTTTCAGTATAAAATGCAACTCCACAACTCCCTCAGTAACTGGTAAAATAATATTAATAATCACAATATCACATGTTTGAATACTCTAATTAAAGCAGACTAGATCTGGCCAGTACTCAGACAGATTCCTCGCAAGGCAAAGGCAAGGCAAGTCTGCAGAATGGCATGCAAGGAGCTCTAAAGAGTTATTTTTTGAGCAACATGCAAACCCAGAAGGCAGTGACTACCAATTATCATCTTCTGTGGCACATTTCCAGAAGTAGTAGGTGTGCTCCTGGCCAAAACCCAGCTTTAATTATACAGTGTCCACCTACTTCTCAATTTCATCTGCAAGTTATTTTTCATGTTCTCTTTATAAAATGTATTGACTAGGGTTACTGGCACAGAACAACTGATGCCTTCTGTCCAAGATCAGGTATATTTGAAGTGTATGACCCAATTCAAACTGTTTTTATTTGTTCTCATCATATCATTTGGACAAGAGATAGAATATTATTAACCAGAACTGACTGAGGAGAAGCTTCACTGTAAAGAAACAAAGCTAGATATCTGTCCTGGTTTCAGCTGGGATAGAATTTGTTTTCTTCCTAGTAGCTGGTACAGTGCTGTGTTTTAGATTTAGTGTGAGAATAATGTTGATAGCAACAACTAAGATATCACTGTGTTAAGTAGTGCTTATCCTAAGTCAAGGACTCTCCAGTTTCCCATGCTCTGCCAACGAGGAGTTGCACAAGGAGCTGGGAGGAAGCACAGCCAGGACAGCTGACCCAAACTACCCAAAGGGATATTCCATACCATAGTGCGTCATGGTCAGTACAGAAACTGGGGGGAGTTGGCCAGGAGGTGCCAATCGCTGCTCGGGGACTGGGCATCGGTCAGTGGGTGGTGAGCAATTGTGTTGTGCATCACTTGTCTTTCTTGGGTTTTATTTCTCTCTCTCTGTTTTTGTTAACACTCTTTTCATTGCTATTAACTTTATTTCAGTAACTAACCTGTTCTAATCTCAACCCATGGGTTTTACCTTTTTCTGATTCTCCTCCCCATCCCACGAGGGGCAGGGGAGGAGGCGGTGAGTGAGCGGCTGCGTGGTGCTTAGTTGCCAGCTGGGGTTAAACCATGACAATATCACAGCCAAGTTTTTACCAAGCTTCAGTTTCTTAAATCAATGTAGATTGACAGCTGAACCTCCACAGTCTGCCATCTGCCAGAGAAGCTCCCTATCTTCCTTCTTTGTTCTAAAATGGTCTTCTTTGGGCAGCAAAGATCTGATCGATATCAAGATGAGCAATGGCAGCAACAAGACAACAGCCATTCCCAGACTGAAGTGCCTGGTTATCTACTGGTTTTCAGTGCCAGAATGGAAACACATTATTCTGGATACCTCAAACTGCATTTGTGAAGGCTGAAGCAATGCTGAAGCCAGTTAATTTGAGAATGCTCTCATAGTAACAAAAATCAATGATTTTAAGTCTTAGCCTTCAACAGAGAATCTGACATTTCCCCCCACCCCCCAAGTGACTGCAGAAGCAACCTGTTTATTCCACTGCAGCCTCCACATCCCCTTCCTATTAGGTTTATACTAATGTCAACCAAACCAGAACTATATGACAAGAATATGCAGAAGAAATTAGGGTAAGAGAAAGATTTCCTAAAGTGATGAAAAACAATCCTTAAAATACCATGACACACTGGGAAGGAAATGTTTTCCCAACTGTTCTGTGCAATCCCTACCAACAGCAGCTCAATCAGTTACTGGGCTGAAGAAATAAGTCAGCCAGGATGTAACAGAGACGAGCAGACAACCTGCATCAGCTAAGGCCCCTCGCCTCCTCTCTCAGTGCCGCAATGCCTCTGCTTCCTGAACATGCCAGTTACACACATAAATAATGTTGGCTTTTTTTTGGTTTGAAGGGATTTTATTTGTTTGAAGGGTTATTCTTAAATATTCATTTGCTACAGTTACAGAATTAACAACTAACACATTTAAATAAGTCATATAAATACTTACAGACCAAACAATTATCATTCTTCTAGACACAGAGTGATCTATGTTCCAGTAGATAAACGGAAGGAAAGTGATATAAAAAATCTCTTCGCCCAAAGCAGCTGAAAATTTGAACAAGTAGTAGTAGAAGTAGTTCTTCACAACGTACTTCTGTGTGCAACCCTGGAAATGAGAGGATTTTAGAAAGTTTTAGTGAATTAGCAAATTATAGCAAACATTAAAATATTTTAACTGTTGCAGTCCCCAGCCCTTAAACCAAATAATTTGTTGGAACAAGTGTCAAGAAATTAATTTCAATTTTTATACTAAAATGAAGACTATAGTGATAGCTCAACTGCATTTCCTGCAGATTAGAAATCTATTCAAACTAATTAAGGGTAGCAGCCACATTGACAAAGATTTTCAAGAGATTGGATCGATCTTTCCTCCAGCGAAATCCAGTATATTTCATAAAATCATAAGATGCGTTAATTTTGAAGTTTCTACATGTGTAGATAAAGAGAGCCACCATTGCTTTCATTGGAAATATGTTCTGAAATATTGTAAACTGCAATTACTGAACATTTCATTGAAAATTTGCCTCATTATAAGCAGCCAAAGTTTACCCTGCTAGTCCCTGAAATTTGCCGTGGGGTGTCACTGGCAACAGCATTCCCTGCGCCGCCCTCAACACCGGTCCCTTCCGACCCAGTGGGATGCCGGTGGGATCGCCCTGCGCCGAGATGCCGCAGCCCTTGCACGCCAGTCGGCTCGGCAATCGCAGACACATGAGCACAGCCGGGGGAAAACAAGGCTGCGAGAGGGCAGAGAGAAGAGCTGCCCCTGCCGCCACCAAATTATCGTTCCCGTATCTTTAAGTAACAACCACCAGACTGTTAAACATTACCAGCAGATATATTGCAAACAGTATCAGGTGACGCTGTTCAGGACTTTATTCATTTTATCGAGCTAGAGATTTCACTTTTCTCTGGCTTTGGCAGCTAGATGATTTCATTAGACGTACCTCACCTAACACACTCACTTTCTCTCTTCTAAAAGGCTGCACCCAGCCCGTTGGGGCTGGGAAGCCACACAACAGCATATATTACTAAGGCCATGACTTTGGTCACTTGTGGAAAGGTTTGCTGCTGCTGCTGCCATGTGGGACTTGTAGACGGCTAAGAAGCCTCCCACCCTGTTAGCAGAGTCAACATGAAAGAGAATCACCTTTTATATAAACACCTGTACACTTCAGCAAAAAGGAGAGATATATGAAGAGGATTTTTGGTTTGGGAGCAGGAGCACAGAGCCAATCTAGCCTTTCCCCAAGTCCCCAGAAAGAAAAAAAAAATAAAATATGGAAGTTGGCTATGTAAATACGAGATCTGTGTAAATATGAAATGGAAGAACTTCCTAAAGATGAGAGCTGAGAGGGGATCATGAAGGTTTCAGCACAGATATACTAAGTTAAGACAGAGCTTTGACACAAGCTCCTAAAACTCTTGTAAGAGGAAAACTATTATGCTTGGCGTTGACTGTGTAACTAATCTACCAGAGAGAAATTCTCATCCCACATGCTAGTGAGAAAATGTAAAAATTGTCTAAGGAGTCTAGACATGCAATTGTGACTCATTGTAAGAGCCATTAGAAGTTCCAGGCCCTTAATCTGCTTTCAATATGGAGATAAGGCAAACTACATGAAGACAACAAAAGCAAGATGGAAAGTTGCATCCATTCATCTACTGTAGAAAAAAATCCACAACTTATTTAAACTGATTTTTGCATCAATAAACCGAAAAGACGAGTCAATGCTTTTGAAACGCTGGGGTCACGGGAGTGCTCCCCCACGTATTGGTAAGAGAGGTCACAGATGAGTTGCTGGCATCCCTCTAAGGTACCACAGCAGTATGCTACGGCTGCCCCAATGACAGAGCAATCAGTCCAGTGCCTCCCGTCTCATAAGGCACTTGGAAAACACCCCCAGTGCAATTAGCATCTCTGATGCTTCTGTCTGCGCTCCTGAAACTGTATTTGGTCACACTTAACACGGCCCCAGAGAAAGCCCTCTTCTGGCATCGCTAATTCCTCAATTAAGCAGCAGTCTCCAATGTAATAGGAATTATGTGCTCATATGCTTTAGATCAAAGATGATCAGACATATCCCTAAGGTAATGTTTTTGTACTTGGAACCTCGTGGGATGAGGGATAAAACTCTGATTCCAGTAATCTGTTTTATGGGGCAAAAAAGAGTTTTTCAGGTTCTAAAAGAAATCTGGAGTTAAAAAATATTTCCAGGCAGAAGGCAGGGCCAAGTCCTTCCATGTGATTTTTAAAACCTTTTTTTTTTCTTTCTTCTTTTCCTTTTCTATCAGAAATCACCTCCCACTTTTTTGTTTGTTTGTTTGTTGGGTTTTTAACTTTTTTTTTTTTTTTAAACACTACATCAGCAGTTGTGGACAGCCCAGCGTGTGAGGCAGGGGACAAACAGACCACGCCTGTGACACGATGGTAACAGCCAGATGTTAGGCATCCAATGTATCACAGAATTGCTCCACTTGATCTTAGGTAGTATACAGTAATAAAAAAAAAATAATGTTTTCACTCATTGTGATCTTAAAGCATTGTACATACACAGAAAGCCCACTCCATTGCAGCAGTGCCGGAACCTAGCACGTTTACTATCTATAGCCATCCTTTCTGCAGAAAGCAAAGACTCCGGTGCTTTTTGAGGTGCCTTCCCTCTTTATCCCCATTCTAACCCCAGAGCAGGAAAAAGCCATTACAAGTATTCGTGTGAATGTTTAGCATCTTCTAACACTCTCAGAAGCTTATTCAATCTCTACTTTTAAATAACTCTGATCTTTAGATTTCATTATTCATAATGTACTGAAGTGACCTGATGCCTTCCACCATCTCTGAAGCACTTTCAGTGAGTCAGCCCCTCCATCTATCTCCATTACTATTCGGTCCAGATCAGAGAGATTTTAATAGGCAGCAAGGCTGCAGAGAAAGTCAGAATTTTTAGAACTTTTCAGAGGCAAGGTATAATAAGCCGTGACATTCGCAGACACATAAGACACGTAGTTTCACTCAAGTGACCCTTCCCATCAACTATAAAATATCTATTTTGAAAAACCTTAACTGCTAAAATTACAGGAGACTCGCAAGAATGTGTGAGTCTCCATAAATTAACTACTCGCCTGAAGTATTGGCACAGAAAGTGGCTATTGTAGGTCATCCTAATTTCTCAGTCTCTGCACACTGGTCACGGGTGGGTCACCCACACCAGGGGCTGCCCCATGCATGCTTGGGGATCCAAGTGCAGCCCGATGCTGCCGCAGCACCCACCCAACCTCCGCCGGAGCGCAGGAGCATCCCCAAAGCCTCCCTACGGAGCAGTAATGACAGGGCCAGCAGAGCAGACCAAACCGCCACCATGGTGACTCTTGGGAGACACCAACACACAATGACACAGCACAGC